AGTCCTGAGAAGGACTGTTGTCGGTGGTAGTGACTGACGTTTCGACAACCTGTGCGGAAGTCATCATCAGCTTGACTCTGATGATATCCGCACAGGTTGTCGAAACGTCAGTCACTACCATCGACAAGAGTCCTTCTCAGGACTACACTCACCCGGACGATCAGACTACACCTTCACATGTTACCCCGGGTTCAAACCATTTACTGCATTATGTTGGTAACCATGGCCACACCAATATCCTCACACGTGACAGATAAAAATAGTATCTTCACTGCGCGCGGTGAAGATATGATTTTTTAGTAAAAGGAGAAATCCCTGGTATTTCATCAGTATCTATATAATAAAAAAAGGGTTAATTAGTAAGCTTGTTCTGGTTTCGAGCGATACCCACGAGGTATCGTGTTTGATAACCATAGCAACGGGTTTTTATGCTATGACTGACAAGTGAAATTCCTTATGCACACATGAAACGTTCAAAACTTAGGTTGAAAAGAAAAGAACCTCTCAGACTTTGAACTTTTCTTGTACGATAAAGAATTTTTTTCTGTCTGCACGAGTTAACAGTATTGACACAGCTTCGACGTCATGCCTGTAAGTATCAAAAGTTTGTCAAACTTGAATGTAAATTGCTTGCTCAGTTTGGTAAACAAATTTATTTTTGCTAGCTCCTGAATTCATTTCTCAATGTTGAGAAAACAGTAGCTTTAGGGAGAGGATCTGTGAAATTCTTTGCAACCGTTAGAGATATTTCCTTTGGTCCATCAAGGCATTTCATTCTTAATAAGGAGAAAGAGGTTTAATTGAAAAGCGAAACTTGTTGGTAATTGTCACAAATTCGTTTGCATTAATTATTCGCCTTATATGGCCACCAAACAAAGTGACAGCTTGCATAATTCATAAATATTGTTATTTAAAACTTGCTCAAAATCTTTGCTCTACCGAATACTCGCTGATTCGCGTTCGTGGCGGACCAAAACATCCTTGCGTGAAGAGTGAGGTACAGGTCAAATCTGATGACAATTTTTATTATATTACTGATGCATTAACATTATCTGCTCCTATCTTAACTTGCCCTGATTTACGTATCTATAACTGGTCAATTGCATTTGTATTAAAATTTCTAAGTTAGGTTCTAAGCGGTAATTGCAATGTTAAGGTCACAACCTCACTTTTTTAGTTTGTCATCTTGAAATAATTGTGTTATGGCTTCAAATTATTATCTTCAATCCTTTGTTATAATCTTCGCTATCTTTTACCTTGGTCGTTCCTATTTGTTTAGTCGTAAATCAGTTTTAAAACCTTTTCAAGGATTTAATTTCTCTAAGAACGGTTCACTTTCACGCGCTAAGTTGACCCACATCATGTACCGTGGCGAAGCCATTTTGATAACAATTTTTTTTTTCATATGGTTGCTCGAAGACCCTTACTGATTTAGCTAGGCCAAGCGAAAGGAAAATTTCTCGCGTAATTTGAGTTATTTTAATTTAATATGTATAGCATGGAAAAGTTTCAATGCCTCTATCAAAATTCATAATTGTTAATGATTTTTGCATCAACTGGAAAAGGAAAAAAAGTAAGGGGAAAAAATCAAGCTGCAGAAACGAACGACAAAAGTTAAAGCGGAAAAAGTCTTCCGTCAATCTACAACCACAGATGACGTGGCTGCCTCTTAATTAATTCACCGTTTCTGTTTACACACTTAAATCATGGCCAGTTGAACTCATGTCTAGGAAAAGGTCTTTGTTTTGATCGCTCAATCCGAAGGTATTGCCGTGAACAGGGTCTTAAAACTCAGTTTGCATGACACGTTGTTATAAGAGAGTAACAAAGCCGGCTTATCCCGTTTCACGCACGCATTTTCGAAAAATTTACCCGTCACGTGAATGAAAAGGAAAACTTTAAATCTCTCTTCTTGAGTACAAGCTTTCATAGAAATCTCAAGGTTCTCACGAAATGAAAGGATTCTCCTCGCGTTCATTTCGGAATGCAAATGAGGCCTCACGAAGTTCACAGAATCTAGCACTAAAAAGAAAGCCATGTTTGACTTTGCGACCTAAAAGGTTGAAGCTCTGAATAAATTTTCTTCTTCTAGCTTGGACCTAACATCCTTCAAAGCTTTCTTCATTGAAAAGTGGTCAAGTTACTTTAGATTTATATTGACAAAGAAAACTCTTGTAAATTGCACTGAGTTGGTCAGAGATGGTTAGCATGTAAGGAAGAGAGGATCTTAATCCCATTTCACACACGAATTTTGGAAAAATTCACCCGTCACGAATATGAAAGGGAAACTTCAAATCTCTCTTCTAGTGTGTAAGGATTTCGTTAAAAAATATAGAGGTTTCCATGAGATGAAAGGAAAACATCACGCGTCAAGTATCTTTCAGGGGTCAACTGAGTCACGCCTCTCGCAGGTTTATAAACGCGATCGCGGAATCACGCCCGCTTTTCTGTAAAATTCACACTTAACATATTAAGTTTGTTTGGGGTGTAAGATGTATTGTGTTGACCTAAGTAAACTTGGCACGTCGTCGTATATTCGGGTTACAGTGTTGGCCCCTATCATTAACGAAACTATGCTTAATTACTGGCCGGGTAGAAAAAGCAGCAGAAAGAAAAGGTTGCCATGGCAAACTCTGGTAATTTTCTTCGCTCTAAGGTTCTTCGTTTCAAGGCTTTCTCCATTGAAAACCATTCTATTTTGCTCTATTTTTGTCTTAATTTATGTCTAGAAAGAAAGCTTTAGATAGTGGCGCTGAGATGATTCCAGATCGTTAAATTTTTCTAATTTTTAAACTCTGATGAGTCAATAATATTTCTTTGTTATTTTATTTGCTTTCTTGTAAATAGCATGGAGCAAGTGCTCGATTTTTTCTCAAAAAAAAAAAAAAAACTGCTTTCCTTTGTCTAACGTCACAAGTCATTATCTCGTAAACACTTAGACTTTCTCAATATCAGTATACATCTGCAGGCTATGAAAACCGCCGGATTTTTTTTCCTTAAATTAGATTGATTGTGACCGAGTCGAAAGTTAATACGAGGAAGTGTCGTGTAACAATCTCGTCCACGCGCGAAACATGGTAAACTGGAGCTAATCTTGACTTGGTTACCCGTGTTTTCCTGCTCTTGTTACTGTTTGATTCATTTTATTTTTAATTCTAATTGTCTCCTCGTGATACTTTCCGTTTTCACTAATGGCTGCAGTGATTACTCTGACTTTGGTGTTATGACACTAACATAAAAGCACTATTATTTTGAGTTTTACGTTACGTCCTTTAACTGTGTTTTTATACATACATCTTTATCCTATGCTGAACGTAACTCTTGTGAAAAGCCGTTTAGATTAAAACTTTCCCAGCATCATGAAATCAAATCAATGAAATTGATAATTTGAACATAAGCTTTCTGTACCTCAGAGACCATTTACGAAACGAAGAAAATTCAGCCCTCTGTCAAATCGGGTTTTTTACGAGGGCCATGCGATAATGCGAAGCTATGGTAATCGCTAGCGTAAGTGTCACTCTGTCATTTTCCCAGCCGGTGATTGGTTTGATCTTCGGATTCAAAGAACTGAACTGGGTTCTTAATGTATTTATACGCATCAAACATAATAACGATTACTCACGTGAAGATTTCCAGCTTCTCCAGATACCGTATTCAGGACACTCTACTTTAATTTTAGCTGTTCTTGACGTTCTTGGCAGCCTTGTGGGCAGGTAATTGATTGAATGTGCGGAGAATTGTGATTGTACTGAGTTTTTATCTTATGAAAGCGCTCGCGGATAAAAATTACCGGGGTTTAGCGAGCTGCTCGAAAGAAAAGTTCGCTTTATTTCAGCCGAATTACGTTGTTTTCTAGTCACTGAGGAAAATTTGAAATTTGTTTAGTAGATAAGCGTAGAGAAAACAACTGTTTCCGACCAAACTGGGGTAATTTCTCGGTAAAATTGTCAGTGTTTCCGAACAGAAACTGTGATCAGTGAAGAGCTATATAGGCTTGAAGTTTTCGGCTCCTGATAAAACTATTACGTACAGGGAGTGATAAGATGTAATTTTTTGAAAGAACTTCTGATTACTGGAAGTTTGTGTTGTCCAATCGATATTGATTGAAAATCGAGTCATACATATGTTGGGTATTTCTCTCACTTAAATATCATTTTTGTCTACCCAGAGTAAAGCGAAGT